GAGAGACAAATGTTGGGCAACATGCTTCTGAACCATATGGGTCCCATTGGCCAAGAAATCCATAGAACGTTTGTTTTCTACGATACCGAACCGATGGAGGATTTAAGCGTGTTAATTAAAAAATTTGATATATACTACATATACGGGGATGAAAAAAGAGACTGCGAAGACATCGACAAATATATAAACGATTTGAAAGTACGTATATAACTGTTTACCTTCAAATGCATAATTCTCTTGTAGTTAATTGTACATTTAATCTTTCCAGTCCATCGCTATCGCAATGAATTGCGTTGATCCCGCGTTGGTTGTGAAGGAAAAAATTATACAAGATATATGTGCTCAACTTTTCACGGGAATAGTTACGTTTCTCCAAGAATATAAAGGAAAACTGGTACCGTACTTGCGTTCGTTGGAGCTCGACGATATTATTCTATTCTGCAAACAGAGCGAAATGGCGCAAAATATGGAGGAACCCCCGAGGCAGGACTTTCACTATGCCAAGTCGACTGCATTAGAATGTATTCGATGTGATACCGTGCATAAACGAAATCAATGTCCGGCTTGGGGCGTCCAGTGCAACAGGTGCAAGCAATTCAATCACTTTACGGAAAATTGTAAATTTATGTACATAGACAATTGCACCAAATGCGGAACGAGTCACGTTCTGACACATTGTCCAGCGTATGGCGAACTGTGCACAAAATGCGGCAAGAGAAATCATTTCGCGTCCAAGTGCCAAATTCCCTTTATGAACAATTGCTGGAAATGCGGTACGAGTCATGTGGCAACCATGTGTCCGGCGCAGGGTCGAACATGCCGTTATTGTAATAAACTGAATCATTTGGAAGAACGATGCGCGAACAGGTGTAAAAATGGTCAGTAGCGAATCTACAGTGATCGCTCACTTATTTTCTACTAAATAATGGTAGTAGTAGTTTCAAATATCTATGTCCAAAAAGTTTTAACTCTATATTAAACAAAATATACACAGCATGTTATATCAAATATTTTATCTCTATATAAATTAATATAAATGTTATTTTGTATACAATTGAGAATTATTTTAGATATATGTATACTGCATTTTAAGGGCGAAAATAAATTGGAAATAATCGCTCGACATGTTTTCACTCGTTATTTATTAGATTAAAAATGTACATTACGCTTGATCACCAGTCGGCATGGACTTTATGATGTCGGAATTGCCAGGATCTGTGATCGAGAGCGTACAGACACGGAAGTATTTACCGCAGGCTGTACCCAATTCGATATTGTTCCCCGTGTAATGGTGCACGCCAGTTTTCGCCAACATCGCGTAGTACTCGATCTCCGATTTCCTGTTAAATCCGGACGAAGCACGTTTAAAACGGTACGTTAGCGAGATACAGTTCAGCTCCCCGTGCACTTACAAGCAGGGGTAGGAGACTACTCCATAGTACTCCTATTCGATTTATGATATGCAAATTGACAATCGTATAAATATCACCAAACTCTATCAGTGCAATTTCAATGTAAACTATTAATTTAATTGGACACTCTATTAGTTCTCTGGTACAAATACATTTGCGTATTGGAAGTCACTAATAAATTTAGCAAATCCATCGATTTAAGTAAAACTGCATTCTTGTTAAACATGTCAATTTGCTGGTTGCAAAAGGAGTGCTACTTCTCAGTCTCACCTCAGCGGCGGTGTATTACTGGCAATGATGACCAACTTAGCTTTGCCTTGGCGGAGGGACTTGAGAGTCTGCTTATAGCCAAGGACGTATTTACCAGATTTCATGACAAGTGCCAATCTGGTGTTGATGCTCTCCTGAGCCTTTTTCTGTATAATCGGGCAAGAAATCTCCATTAAATATGCTCACGGAATTACAGACCCAAATAACACACGTGTCTAAAGGACGTCTCTCAGTCGTCTTTTAGGCTGATAGCAGAGAACGATCTGTAATACGGTGTCTACGGCGAGATGTCTAAAACATCAAATTTAAGAAAATGACCAATCACAATTGATTAGTCTTCTTACAATCGATTGCGACGGGTCACTTTCTTAAATCTTACGTCTCAAGTATCTCATTGTAGACGCCGCATAAACACTTAAGACTGTCTTAGACGTAAGGCAGAGAAAATCTCAAGTCGTATACAATACTTTCACGACTTCACGTCTACGACTAGGACAGCCTTGAGAGTTTACGGATCGTTTTCTACCGTCAGCTTTAGATATGTACATCTAAAAGACGACTTAAAAATGTCTCAAACACGCGTGCTGTACAGGGAGCTAGTAGAAAGTTGGACTATGAACTAGAACGGCGATAAACTTGCTGTATTGAAAAAAACTAAATTTTTTAAACATCTCCAGCATTAGAAGTAACAATATGAACGCCACGTAAGTCGATTTATTCCCAGACTACTGTGCCGCACGTGGACTTTGTCCCATTGCTCGACTTAATTGGAGGACCATAAACACGATTTGTGCACGTACAGTAATCGTAACAATGTAACAATAGAATACGTGCTTAATTAATTTAATTAAATTAATTACCGAAGTAACTTAAACTACGCTCCGAGAATACTCGCGGTCGAGCACGTGGGCGCGACGGTGCATTTACCTGTTTCTTTTGAGCCACCATTTTTGCAATAGGCGTTTCTTCTCACGGCTGCAACAATATTTACGATTACTGATTCGTCATACGCTTAAATAATTAACATATGCCCAACAATATGTACATCTCGAAACGTAATTAGAGACCCTACGTACCTTCCGGCAAGACCAACGCTGAAAGAAAGAACGATGGCTTCCTTAAGGCGCGAACGGGCATGAATTAACAAACGATGCACAGAGGGAAACCGCGACCAGATATTGGCGTTGCCCGATTGGTCGCTCGGCTGAATCCAATGAGCGCGGGCCAATCAGATTCGCGATTCTTAGCCCTCATTCACATGGAACGTAACTTGCGTAGCGTAACCTGCGTATCACCAATCACAGGGTCATTCTGATAGAACCGTTTCAATAATTCCGTTGAACTAGTCCTGTGATTGGTGATATACAGGTTACGCTACGCAAGTTACGCTCCATGTGAATGAGGGCTTATGGCTCTTGCAGACTAGAGACCCTCTAAGTCCCAGTCTACAATAGATGATTTAAGCCCTAAGCTTTAAGAAATTGGCCAATCACGGTCAAGTATGAGTAGAATGCGCGACTGTGATTAGTCAATTTCTTAAGGCTTAGGGCTTAAATCTCTATTGTAGACTGGGACTTAGTCCCAGTCTACAATAGATGATTTAAGCTCTAAGCTTTAAGAAATTGGCCAATCACGGTCAAGTATGAGTAGAATGCGCGACTGTGATTAGTCAATTTCTTAAGGCTTAGGGCTTAAATCTCTATTGTAGACTGGGACTAAAGCCCGCTGCAGACGATGCTATTTTTCCTGCTGGATTGCTTGCGATTTAGTAAATTACTATCATTGCACCACTCAGCATTCAGGATTCCTAGTAATTTACTAAATTGCAAGCAATCCAGCAGGAAAAATAGCATCGTCTGCAGCGGGCTTTA